TTTTGGGTAGTACAATCAATATCTTTCCCCAATCTTAAAACACTTCACACCTCCTGGTGTGGTGCAACATACAAAGTCTCTGCTGTTTATCTTACAGCTCTCAAGTTCTATCCTTGGCTATGTTCACTCATTTCCAATTTCTATTCCTAGCCATATCTATACATTTCTACTCTTCAAACTCTATCTACTCTCTCAATCCGAACTATGCAGATGATCCTGAGCATTTACATTCATACATAACCTGACCTTTGAGGCTTTATTCAAATATTCTAATTACTCATTAGGCACAGCTATCTGTTTGATTACTATCTCCCAAATAATCTCTCCTAGCAATTCCTCCATAATCCTATTCACTTATGTTAAAAATGTCAAGGTTACTTTTGACCTTTCCCTCTTCCACTGTTTGATTAATTCATTTTTTACAACAAAACTCTTACTATAGACACCATGCTAATTGGGAATCTTTACACTTCATAGATACTGGATTATCACAATATTTGTAACTGTTAAGTTAGCTTTAAATTTTTTCACCTTACCTGCCCTCAGACTACTATGTAAGTTCCTACTGTAGTCAATATGGTCTATTTAACATTCAAAAAAAACACATTCTAAGCATTTTCCATGCCATTTCCTCCATCTGGAAGACATCATGCGCTGATTCTTTGAGGTTTATCTTAAACTTTACCTCTTCCCTTGTTAGCCCAACTAGATGTACTTTCCCAGAAAGCGCTGAAGGCAGGTTCTGTCCTCCATCTGCAAAATCAACTTTGAAAATCCTCCCCCTCCATCCGTAACACTAAAATGTTTGGGGGAACTGAGACCAAAGGACAGTGCAAATACTTTTCTGTTGGAACATTCCTTACTTGGACATATTTTGATCATCTCCTATGTGCCAGAAGCTATGCTAGCCACATGGACTTCAAATTTAGTGAGAAAGACTGTCTGCACATAAATCAAACAAGTAAATATTGATGAGTGCTAGAAAGAAAAGAGAAAGGGCAAAGTACACTGATGTTGAAAGTCTGCATAGCTGAGAAAAGGGGTGAGACATGAAATTGTTCTAATGTGGAAAGACGAAAGTTAATTCAGGTAGAGGCTTCCCCAAGTGGGGAAAAAATCTTTTAAGCAGGGTGGAAGAGTGAGTGGAAATTAACTCTGCCAAAAGGTGGAAGATTTCTACAGGCAGGAGAGCCCGGACAAAGGATGGTTCAGGGAATTAAGATACCGCCAGGGTGCTGGGTATATACTAAGGACTACAAGAGGTGCGGCTGCAAAGCAGGGAGGGACACGGTCACACTGGGCTTTAAAGGTCATGCTGAAGGTTCCTGGGCTTTATCCTAAGAACAAGTAGGCCTTGAGCGGCATGTTCCAAGATACTTCAAGTTGGGACTACGGCTAACTCTGGGGTGGGAAGGACAGAGAGAAGCAATTATGAAAATAGAAGAATTCTAGTTTTAGAATTTCAATTTACAATTGAAACATATCCTGTACCTCTATCGTGTGTGTGTGCGCGCGCGCACGCACGTGTGAGATCTCACCCAAAGTCAAATTAAGGAAAGCATATGAATTTATACTCATAACTATTTTCAGTTGGTCCACGTGACTTTGACAAGTGTTTTTTTTGTGTGTGTACCTATAAACACTCATGGGAGTATGGGTCAATTTTATATTTTTAAAAAGCAAAAAAGCATAAAAGAGTGTTATAATTCCAAATTGTAACACTCCAGTGGAAAGTTCCATGTCATTGCTTGGCTATGGATTAGCACTATACTTAAAGTTTCTTGCCTTTAAAAAAGATTCCTTATAAAGGGAAATATTTTAAGAGAATACCAACAAAATATCTTCCAAGGATTGTTTTAATTCCTACTGATTTTTAGTCTCACTCTGCCTTTTCTAGGTTTGGATATCAAAATACAATTACTGATAGAAAGTTTCAATTTTTTCAAGGGTAAAACTTAAGGGCGGGAGGGTGACAAGCTATTGATAAAGGAAAGACAACTAGAATTTTTTGAACCTTTTAGTGTACCAGGTGTTGTGTTGAGCACCTTCATACACCTTATCTAATTCAAATCCAATGATTCTGGAAGATGCATGCTATTCTCTATTTTACAGATAAGAAAACTGAGGCGCGTGGGAATAAGCATTTCCCAAAACTATATATACCTTACACCCGTGCTATCCAATTTGATGGTCTGTAGCCATTTGTGACAATTAAACACTTAAAAAGTGTTTAGTTTGCACAAGATGTACTGTAAGTATCACACACCAGATTTCAAAGACAATATAAATACAACACCCTGTTAATAACTTTGAATAATGGTAACATGACAAAATGGCAATGTTTTGGCTATAGTGGGTTAACTGTATTATTAAGATTAACTTTACCTGTTTATATTTTTTAAATCAGTTACTACAAATTTTTCAATTACCTATTTGGTTCACATTATATTTCTATTGAACAGTGTTGACCTGGATGAAAGACTGCATATTAAATGTGCCAGGAGATACCAAGGTGAAAGATAAAGTGGGATATAGTACAAGGATTTATACAGATCTTGGTTTAAATCTCCTCTCCATCACTGACGGTCTTGGATAAGACACCACCAAATCTTTCTGAACTTTCGTATCACCTATGTTATGGTAATATTAAATCTCAATAACTGCTGTATGAAATACATAAAGCAGCCAACTGCATACAATAGGCAAAGAACAGGAAACAATTCCTGAATACCTGCTACAGCAACTGGTTCCTTTAAAAACTGGTCCCCAAAAGTATAGAAAATTCACTCATTTGAAAATCACGTTTCATTTTTAAGTGGGAGGAGTTAAAGAACTCTTATATCTACCATAATACTATGTGGCTTATACATATACGGCATTATAAATAGATGTAATCTGTACCTAATCTTCTTTCCCTTTACATTTAAGTTGTTCATAACACTGTAGATTTGGAAGCCAGATGAGATCATGGCAAGGCATACAAGGGCGTTAGTGTTTCTTATGTATACAACCATTGAATTGCAGTGAGAGTTTTGAACTCTAATTCAGCTAATCAATGTCGAGAACTGAGACTGAGTAAAATGGTACCCGTGTAAGTAGAATTTCATCTTATTTGCATTTCCTGGGTCATAGTGCAAAGTGTGTTAGTACACGCTACCCCTGTAGACTGAGAAAAGTATTATTGCTAAGAAAAGCAAGCTGCACTATTTCATAAGAAACTACAAAATTGCTGAGTGTGGTGGTATATATCTATAATCCCTCAGGAGGCTGAGGCAGGAGGGCTGCTGAGAGTTCGAGTCCAGCCTAAATTACAAAGTGAGACCCTGTCTTAAAAAAAAATAATTACAAAACTATGTGGCCCATGCTATCCAGTATTTTGTCATTTCTTTCCCTGAGGCTTCTGTCAAGAGTTAGCCCTGTAGCAGTGTATGCATGCATCTTCACGCTTTTATATGTATGCGTTCAGATGTGAAGGTGGGACAGCAGGAACATTTACTTGGATTATTTGGCCTAAAAATGCCAAGTGGCAATGTATGAGACTATGTTTGTTTTCTTTTTAATTGAGAGGTACTGGAGAAGGGGGTAACAATGAAGAATTTGAGTCACTTAAATGTAGCCTCTTAAATGTCATATACATACACTAAATTCAATGTCAAAACTGTTCATCTCTTACCTACAAAACACCTTTAAGAAAAAGAGGCTGGGGAAGTAAAAAGTTATTAGTCACAGACTGGAGAACAGAATAGTGACCATGAACGTATTAGGTGTATTTTAATTTGCAATTTAATGCAAGAAGTAATGTAAACTTTTAGTTTAGCTATTTAAAGGCATACTCAATGAGACGGGGTCGGGCAGTGGGGAGAGGGGCTTCATTCCGTTCTTGTAGGTTGCACTAACAACCAAGTACCTGTAACAAAATTTTTAGCACCTCCTGAGCAGAAATGACCGTGATCCGAGCTCTTTGAAGCTAGTAGACTCAAACTGACTTACAACGTGCTTGTTCCTACAATACACATATGACTATCTTTAGCACATGTCTTCAAATTTAGGCCTCTACGTAGAATAAAACAGGAAAAAAGAAAATGACACAACGTTAATAGCATCAACTAATAAAGACCAGACAAAACAGTCCTGGGTAATTAAAAAACAATTAGAAAAAAAATCTACCTAAACTCTGGCATGTGACATTTCAAATCTTAAAATTAGAGGGAAAAATAAACTCCATCAATTTAACAGACAACAATCAAGCAGACCATTTAAACTATCGGCCATATTTCCAAAATGCGTATCTCAGAAGGATCTATCAGGAAAGAACTTATTTGCATCAAGTTTAAATCCGTTTATACTTGAGTCAAACCTCTGAAGACTCTTGTATTATTTCCAGGAATGCCCGTTTGGGGAGGGAGGGAGAGGAAAGTGGCTAGATTAAAGAAAAAAGTTAAGCCTCGTTTTAAAAATATGAATAGTATATCTGTGCCTATATGCTAATCCTCTCTCAGCCCCACTGAGCTATTCTGCCTTCAAATAATTTGATAATCTGTCTCTAAAGTTTTGCACTAGGGAGTCTAGTTTCTGCAAAACGCCCTGACAGCCCTGAAGCCTCTTCTGAGACAAGAACGGTCTCGGTCCTGTGGAACTGACTCTACGAGAGGATACGTGTGTGCACTGTTTGCTGTCAAGCGCTGCAAAGGTGCATTTGCGCGTGTTCGTCCGGACAAGCCTCGCCCATCCTTGCCCAGCTGCCTTCTCCACACACACCCCTCCGCGCCCCTCCGCCCCCCTGCAAGTTTTAAACTTTGTTTCCTTCGGGGCTCTGAACCAGCGCCACTAATGATAGCCAAGAGACAAAGGGCCGTGCAGTGCGGGTTCACGGGATGCCAAATTTTTTAGTTGGGAAACAAAGCGCTCCGATTTGCGATTCGGGAGGAGGCGGCGGATGCAGCCTGGAGCCGGCCTCTCCCCAGACAGCTCCCCGCCCGCCCGCCGCCCGGCCCGCTCACCGCTTCACGCGGATGATCTGGTCGCGCATGGGCTTGATGTCCTGGAAGCTCTGCTGGTTGACCAGGCTGTAGACGAGGATGAAGCCCTGGCCGTTCTTGATGTACAGGTCCCGCATGGACGCGAACTGCTCGGTGCCCGCCGTGTCCAGGATCTCCAGCACCGACGGCGA